CTTGAACTGCTGCTTGAACTGCTGCTTGAACTGCTGCTTGAACTGCTGCTTGAACTGCTGCTTGAACTGCTGCTTGAACTGCTGCTTGAACTGCTAGTTCCAGGGACAAGAACAGCTATGGTCTCTGTCCCAGTAGTACTTGTGAAGGGAAGAGTAGTGGTCTTGGTAGTGGTCCCGGTCCAAATTGAAGTGGTCAGAACGATTTCTCTTCCAACCACATTTGGTTCAACGATTTTGTCATTATTAGTCCAAGTGTAGTCAAGATCATTATAGTAATTGATAATATCGAACAAACATTTGTAAGTATTGGTATAATGGACTTTAACATTCTTGGATGTTGGGGTTACCACAACATCTAAGAATGGACGCACCCAATCATCAGCACCAGAATATGAAATTTGAACACTAGTACTTGAACAAGAATCGAGTTTATAAGAAAGAGAAGAAGTTTGTGAAGGGTGATACCAGTCATTGATGAAGCTAGCTGCAGCAACTTCAAGGGTTGAACAATCAATCAGAGCAGACTCAAAAGACATTCCCAAAACACCAGAATATTTGGTACTAAGTAAACAATTACCATTACCAAGAAGAGAATATTCTTGTTTCAGATCAGGATGGATCTTACGATCTACAACCATAGTAATTGGGCCATAACCATTTGAACTTAAATCAGTATTGACACCACCATTATAGTAAACGCTTGAAGTTAAAGTATTTTTACCGTCACTCCAACTAATTGTATTAGTACCAGCATTGAGTTTTGCAGCACAAGCGAGATCAGAACTATCAGTACCTAAACCGGAATTGAAGGTGAAAGGGATAGTCACACTTCCAACCACATTAGTAGAAGCAGTAACAATACTTGAGACGGTACATAACAATTGAGAATCAGTATTTTTATCAGTACTATTTGAAAGGTTACAAGTAGCAAACGATTTACCGTTGGCAGCTAAGTTAACCGAAGTTGCAGAAGAAGTGAACCTGTCCACACAAGGCAATGTTAATTGGAAAGTATCACCGGCTTTCACACCAGATATGGACCAGCTAAGAGTAGCTAACCAATTAGGATTTTGAGGAGATTGGAAGGAATAACCAGCAGCATCACTCCAAGTAATTGAAGAAATACCAGTGAAGACCCCGTAAACGGCGGAAGCCTCAACATAAGCACAACTGAATAGTACTAATAAAAAGTAAGAGAGGAAAATCATTTCCTGTTTAGTGTACTAAAGTTAGCTTAATTGAAAGAAAGAATTAATGAAATTGTGAGAAAGAAAGAAAGAAAAAATAGAAAGTTCAATACATGATACTATTAATAAAATAGGGAAGAGCTTATATATATAAGCCTTCAATTAACCAGGCAATATCTAGAATTCAGACGTTGTAATTCGAAAGATTCAAGAGTGTCTAGGCATGGAAGCCTTTCATCATGCATGAAGATATTTTCAACAATCTTGAAAGTACCATGCACCACTGGGAAGTATCGTCTAGAATTCATTATTACAAAATAAGATATTCTATGAGTTTGAAAGTAGGTAGAGAGTGTTTTTGCAACAGTCTAATAATAATGTGACGCAAAGAAGAAAAATTACAATAAAATATCGTAAATGAAACGAGGTGCGTTTTTTTTTTTTTTTTTTTTTTTGTTCTTTTTTATGAAAAAAGAAATATTATTTTAGAACCCCTCCTAAACCCCACGCTATTTAAGAAAAATGTAACCATCATTTCATGGCTTAATTTTTCTAAGAAAGAAGACTTAGATGGTCTTGGTGGTGGATGCTTTGTTATTGCTCGAAATAGAAATAAGGTAATACATTCGATTCTTCAACTCAGGGAAAGTATATTACCATCAAGGCATTAGCCCTACTGCCGGGAGTTTAGCTTATACTTGCCAGAAAAGAACATTTAAAGCAGTTAAAAAATAAAGATTACGAATAATCAAAAAGTTGAAAAGAAAAAATAAAATAATAAATGAAAAACTCATGTTACAGTATATCAGCGGAAATTCCAAACAAACAAGCATGCTCTCATATTTGGCTTCGTTGGAAAGTGGTGCGATTGGAGAACGTTACCAAGCATCGTCTACCTACAGTAATGAAGAAACCACCTTGCAATGTTAACGAGCCCAGCCAATGGCTTGGTTAAAGTCTTAGTATCCAACACCAATTGGGAAGTTTCCCGATCACATAAAAAATAACCCAGAACTTAAGAAAGGTAACCGAATTATGCGTGGTTCTATGCTTGTTATTGCCTGTATGCAGCGATAATGCATGGGGTGCGAAACTCTAAACCCCCACTGAGAGATAGGCTTGAGTTTCGATACATACACGATATGCAACTTTATATTCCAATAAGCCTTGATTCATTACTTTAATGAGGCAAATGAGAAGGCAGTTTTGTAAAGGAGCAACGAAACAGAGAAACGTATTCGAATTACAATCGATTCGAAAGTTTCAAGTGTTCAACACTGGCAAGTCCCAATTAAGCGCTGACCGTCTTTTATTATAAGAGATAGTTGGGTGTTTTCCTAGCGGTTAAAAGGAATTGTTGCGCAGAAAGCATTTTGCATCCAAAAAGAACAATACTCAGACAACCTGGGTTGGTAAACTAACAATAACTTCCTGATAGGCTAATAGTTTAAAAATAACGAATTACTATATTGGATTGCCCAACTGCAGAAAAGGGTTCTGGAAGTAAAATTAAACTCGCTCAACAATGGCCCTAGCGAAACTTAATCACCCGATTTCCATTTTATGTATGACTTTCTACCAATTGATGTAAAAATCGAAATCGTCCTTCTCCAAGGCAGTCGCATACATCAACCCGAAGGATTCCGTGTAATAAGAAACTCGAAAGAACACTAAAAAGTTGAGAAACGAGAGACAATTTTAGCAGTAGTACCACGCCTTGACCTACCAACAACCGCTTTTATGCGCGGAAGTCATCAGCTAGTGTAGCTAGTGTATGAAAGGTGTCTCTCTGGGTGGCTATTGCAGTGGTGATTGCAATATTGACCCGAGATGAGACTTGAGGTGCCAACACCCATCACAAAAGAGGGCGTCCAGTTGCAGCTACGGCAAACGGATACATCGTCAAGGAGCTACTTAAAACGGAAGAACTCCAACCAGCTGTGGATGTAGATGATCTTTCCAGTAAGCAGAAAGATTGAAACAATAGAAATCTCCTCGTAATTTCTATTGTATCTAATGATGTTCGGCTTATTTTTTCATAACTCCCGTTCACCTTAGCTGGGAGTTAAGCCCTGTTTGCGCAATAAAACGTGCTTACTAGAATGCAACTACCCAAACACCATTTCTAGCTACTTTGCTGTCACAAAAGGTTTTCCCTCGTTGCAATAAACATGTATTTCGCTCAAAATTATGCTTTTGTGAGAAACGTTTATTCTCTCGAATGGACATAGAGTTGACTTGGTATACCGAGCAAACCTACAAAGCAATCGAGTCGGTGTTTCATCACTTACTGCAGTTTCATCGCTTACTGTTTCATCGCATACTGGTCTTGTAAAATTAGATTATACGATACCATATACGACAATTCTCGAGATCTCCTTATCTCATTACCGAAAATGAAGAAAAAAAAAAAAATCAGCCAAATTCGTAAAATTGAAAGAATAACTCCTTTACACTCAAAAGTCATCCCTAGAAATCTGTTCGAGTAGTCGTCGCCGTCTATAAAATAAAGACCCCCCACAAGATTATCTCCCAAAACAAGATGATCATTTCAAGATCATATGCAGCAATCCTTGTGCAAAGATACCCATATAAATTTTTTTTCAATTTCTGTGCGGCCCCAAAATAATCTAATTATATCTTCAATCGGCTTTGGTATCATCGAATGCTTGAATATCGCCTCTTTCGCCGCACTTTACCTCAAAGGCGCTTTATTTTCGATTCGGGGGCAAAGGTTCTGTAACACCGGATTTGTTCTGGTCTCGGAGATATTCTTGTCGCATCGGAGTTACCTGAAATCAATTTAAAAAATTGGATGGAATGCATGAATGTTTGAGTTGAATTCAAAACTATAATTCAATGTGTATAGCGAAATGGTTATTGTATTGAACAATAGAACAGTTCGTAAAAGTGAGTCAATTGTAATTTGGGTTTTGGCTACGCTGCTCCTTATTGTTCTATAAAGGCGAAGAATAAACTATTCAGGAAGCGACACTCAAACGGCCCAAAAATAGTAATTTTTTCTTTTAAAATAGATCTACGATTTTGCTATTAAGTAAAATGCATTGAAACTACTCATTTCTTCATAAAAAATTTAAGAACTACTGGTTGGATGGTCCATATAGATATCTTCACCATTAGTATTAGTATTGTTGTTGTTAGCACCATCATCTGCGCTGGATTCATTTATATTGGAAGCGGTATTTCCATAATTTGAATTGATGGCAGAATTACCGGTGTTAGATGTAGTATTAGATAAATTACTTGGAATACACCAATTTCGGTGACAATGCCATGCTTTCATTTGGCATTCTCTAGAACAATACTTGGTACGCTTACATCTTCTGCATTTTGAAAATTCTCTTGGATATTTTTCCCATTTACCACATTCAAGATTTCCACATTGTCTAACACCTCCTTTGAAATCATTACGACGACATGAATTTCTCATAATTACTCCTGACCAATAATACATGTCGGTACCAGCTAAAAATGTAAATTTTTCAACCATTGGAAACAAATTAAATTTTTTATATTCAACTAATGAATCATCATAATCATTTTCTTCATTTGAATTATACCCAAATGGTTCATCATCAATATCAAAACTATCATAAGTATCATAATTCCATTTCTCTTTTAAATATTTCTTCTTTTCTAATCTTTTTTGAATAATTGAGTTGCTTAATTTTTTACTCTCCAATTCAATATATCTATTGATTTTATCACTGATATGAAATAAAGCAATTTCTCGATCTAAATCGTTAACAATTGATTCAGCATCAATTATAGAATCATATAATTTACTTAAATATGAGCTATTTTCTTCACTTTTTAAATTGGTTCCTGCCAAACATGACAAATATTCTTCATCTTCTTCATCTTCATTGTTCTTATCATCAAAATCATCTTCGTCATCTTCTGCTTCAGCATCTTCAATTAAATCCTCAACATCTGGTTTATTATTACATAAATCTAATTTATCTTCATCCAAAATAAAATCCTCATTTTGAATACTATTTATGTCATTCAACATTTGAGGTGAGCTTGATGCTGAGGCATTAAATCTTTCCAAGTATGTGTTGGTAGTTATTGGATTGATATTTCTGATACTATTAAGACTGTTGTTACCATTTTCAGGAGCGGGTCGATTGAAAAACTTATATCTTCTCAGTTTGGGGGTCATGGTTGGCCTTGAATTAATCTTCTGTTGTTTCTTTAATTTCATCTTCATTTGCTTTTGAAGATATAATTTCAATTGCTTATCCCGTATACTCATATCTATTACTAAATCAGTATTCTGTAATATTTCTTTGAGATGAGGATATTTTGATATATATGCTAATAATTGTAAAGACCAAACGATATCATCATCTCTCGGAATAACAACTCCAGTTTCAGTAAAGCTTCGAGGAGCAGATTTTGAAGTAACCATATTACCCAAATGAATATTTCGATCTTCTTGCAAATACAAATCTGATAAAAATTGTAATCCATTATCCATTTCATAATCATTGTCATCCAAGAATTTATCATCAAGTAAATCGTCCTCCTTTTCCTCTCGTAACTTTTTGATAATATTAACAATCAAATATCTTCGCTTGATATCGTTATTTGCTAAACTCTTGTTGGTAGATACACCATTGTTATTGAATTGTGTACCACTGATCCCATTCACATGAACTAGCTTGAATAATTGATCTACGGTCAAACTATCATAGTCATCACTAGTTAAATTATCTGAGCGATTACCATTGAAAAAATTAGGCATAGAATTACTATTGGGGATAGATGTGCTGGTAACTGTATCTGAAGCTAATGAAGGAGTGATTTGGATTGGAAAAGTAGAGCTTGAAAATGAGTCAATTTGATTTAAAAAATTGCTGGTAGCATTGTCAATAGCTGTATTAATATTTCGATTATTATTATTGGTATTATTATTATTATTATTTGTAGTTGTATTATCAAATGCGACTTCTTGAGTGGATCCAACTTCTGGAAAAGATTCACTTGCAGTAGCAGGTGCTGAATCGGGTTGACTATTAAGGTTCTCCATATTCATATTACTTTGAGGTTGGTTATGTTGAGTTGTAAACAGGAGTCCCGTATCTTGAGTTGGCGCAGTTCTATTGGTTACTTGAGGATCTAATGTAGGTGGTTGATTTCTTTGAGTGTTAAGGGTACGGCGATTCTGCTGCTGCTGCTGCTGAGCTGGAGGCCTTTGTTGTTGTGGATTGACATTGGATTCATTTGACAGGCGCAATTGGGTTGATGGTTGTTGGCAATTAAAATTTTCATGCCCACAACCTGGACGTACATTTGCATGAAGAAAAGTTCTTTCATGAATAGTTAAGTAATTATCTAAGACAGTGGCAATAATGGGTAACATACCAGCCTTAACAACTTTTTGTCTTATTTTTTCGGTACCCCTTGTACCTACTAAAACTAAACATTGGAAAGCCAAAGTCCATTTCCAAGCGGTGAGAAGTTTCTTTTCGCTATTGAAAATGTTATCTTTTAAATTGAAAGTCAGGTTATGACATTCGTGTAAAATCTCAATCAACCGTTCAATCCCACCATCATTTGATAAAGTTTCTCGAACTTTAGCCGAAGATGAAACGAGGTAAGTTAAATGATTTAAAGAATTGACAAGAGGTTTATCGGACGTGACTTCTAAAGCTCTTCTATCATAAAGGCTAGTGGTGATGGTCACCGCAGCTTTATTACTTGATACAGACTTGTAATTTGAATCTCTCATATATGCTTTTATAAAACTTCTGAATAATTGAGCTTGATGATTTAGAATTTCATGAAAAGAATTCTTGATGCAAATATCCCAAATGAAAAACGTAAATTGGATCGAGTTGAAGTTGTCTGAACTTGAAATAATACTATGAAGTGAATTAATTGAATAACCAAAGTGAATAAAGTCTAAAAGGACCAAGTAGAAATAAAACAAACAGCTCCGCTAATACAAGAATAATCGAAGCTTATTAATGAAAGTATAAGTGAACTCACTTAATGGAAAGAAGAAAGTATAATGAAGTCCGAGATGGCAAATCAAGGATACAGAAAAAAAAAAAACCAAAAACCTAAATGACCCTGGATGGAAGGCAAAACAAAATTCAATAAACAAAAACTAAAATTGAAGCCTAATTTGATGTAACTTCTCGATAATAAGATCTGGAGTTGGGCTATATCCAAGCACTCTGCGTGGCGCTGATGACTAAGGAGAATTCAGGGGTAGGCAAAGACGTTCAAGCAAGAGCCCTCAAGATTCCGCCAAGGCAACACTAATTACGTCGAGGTTATAGATGATACAAGCCTTATGGATTATCTGGGCCGTAATCGATTCAAATTGGTTGCAAATGTCTCTAATCAAAAAGCACTATCAAAAACTCTATTATTCCAGTTCTGTTGATACTGTTTTTTTTTTTGTTTGTTTTTGGAACTAAAGATCCGTACATTTTCTGGCTTCAGATTTTGCCACTTACCGGAATTCCTTTCTCCCATGGATTTTGTCACGTGTAAGATTTCATTTCCGGTCGCGGGGATATCAGATAAACTTCAAGATAACCAAATGGAACAGATGAATGGAGCATAAGAGGGTATTAGCATGAATTCACAACCGTTAAAGGATCTCAGTAAGCTCTCCTCCAAAGGGTTGCTTGAGCAGTCACGGGAAATCATTGAATCTATGGCTACCAGTTGGAACCGGAACAAGTCGTATCAATTCCGATACGAAGATCAAACCATTACTACCCAAATTTATACCAAAGACCATTTGAACGACGACTACTGGGCTGGAAGGATAACCACGTGGAGTGATGGTTTTTCCAAAGAGTTTAAGCAAGGTTTGTTCAGCAGATTCATGAAGTATGGGGTTGGTCTGTTGGAGTCTTTAGAGAAAAGTCATACTGAGTATGAAAAGGAGTATATTGATATATTCTATGGGTCGAAACTTAAACCCTTTGAGCTTGAGGAAACTGACCCGAGCTATACTTCGATTAGTTATCTTGCCGAATGCTATTACAATTTGGGATTCCCGTTGAAAAAAAGAGTCTTTTATGAACTAATTCATGTACTAAAGTCGGTCGATGGATCGGAAGCTTATGTGATTTCATTAGCAGTTGATCCATCTCATTTAACCGATTCGAAATCTTCCTTTGTTCATGCAGTATACACTTCGATCGAAAAGTTCACTTATCAAAATGAAGAATTATCTTGGAAAATGTGTACATGTTCAGATCCTGGTGGTCTAGTTCCTTCTTATATTACAAAATTGTCTATAAAAAATGCTATATCTAAAGATGTTCCGAGTTTCTTGAATTGGTCAAGGACTAAGTCTGTTTGAAGCTATCTAGCCATAATTTGACATCATCTCCTAAATTATCCAAAAATCCTAAATTAACATTGCCAGCAATATTATTTAAGAAATTTCCTTCGTTTTCTTCTAATGATACTGAATTAACTTTTTTTTGATTTTTTTTCTTTGAACTATGATGTCGATTTTTAATGATTATGATGAATCTATTGGGATATTTAATATAATAAAACATCCAATCGTTGGTCTTATTACTATTGAATTTATGTAGATATTCCCCGATACTACTTTCATCATTGAAAAATTCTCCATTATTTCTAGTGATGAATAAATCGATTAATTGATCATGTAAATGAAATATAGCGTTTTGGTATCTTAAAACAACTTTATTAATCTGTTGGTCTTTTTCTTCCTCTTGTGGCTGTTTTTGTTGTTCTTGTTGTTCATTATCGTTTTCTTGTTGTTCAAAAATTGCAGGAATAGGTAAAAATGGTAATGATGACTGAATTGAATAATCTTTATTGTTGTAAATTACATAGAAAAAATCATTATCAGGTTCAGGAGATTCTTTTTGATTAAACATTGTATTGAACGATCCAATACTGTTTCCCAAAATGCTTCCACCTAATAAAAAATTAGTAATTGTATCAGTAATTGGATTAAGAATCATTTCTTTCAAAGCTTTATAAAAATCGTACTCATGTAATCCATCATAGGAAGAATCATAAATTAATGTCACGTAGATATTATCTTTTGAATAAACAACTAACAGATACTCTCTTTCTTCAACAATGATTTTATCTTCTTTAAATACCTTCGTGCTTAAATACACTGGTCGGGTGAATATAAACTTATTTCCAGATTCGTCACTTCTAAGTCCAATTAAATATTCACCATGGTCATTTTCTGATTCACTCAACTCGGAAATCGTATCAGGAGCTTGACTTTCATCTTCATTATTTTGGGCTGAGCTATAACTAAATGGATTTAAATAACTCGACACTGATAACCAGCTATTTCTGTTTGAGTCTTGGGGTGGCTGTTGCAGTTGACTATTTGTCGGCTGTTCTGTTCTCATTGCATTTCCACCTAAATTTATAACACTATTCATTGTATAATTTAGTGGCAGAATGACCAAATTATTCGTTAGACTTATTGGGTTCAACAATTCTAACGCAGCAGTAGGACTAATTTTGAGTCCGTAATCGGATTGATTTGATGGAGTATTTGAGCTTGACGTCGTTATAGGTGTTGATATTTTCTTCTTAATGGAATCAGATGATGAAAAAAATTTCCCACTACTTCTGTTGGTTGTTAGTTTATTTGAATCCAAATTATCATGATAATCATGATATTCCAACCAGGTATAAATGTCCGAAAGGGAGGCTCTATCTATAATACTTTCACTGTATTCCTCTGAATATTCATCATCAAAATTGTCACCATGAATTAAACCATACTTTTTGGGAAGCTGTTTATCGAAGTAGGAAATTAAGAAGCCCCTCGGAGTTGCTTCCAGCCTGTCCAGGTAAATTTTTCTATGTAAAGTTTCCTTTATTTCATTTATTGCAGCATAACTTAGATTAATAGAAGACTTTTTGAATGTAGGATCATTAAATGAACCCTTTGGATCGGTAATCATTCCTAGAAAGCCTCCGTAATTGAGACTATTGGTCCATTTTAAATCAGGTGGGAATTTAAATATTTCTGAATTATAAGCATCCAAGAATTCTTGCCAATAAGTCAGCAAGATCACTTTCATATCTTTCAAATCCAAAAATCTTGAAAGTTTACTGAATGACGAATTTAGCATGAAAAAGTACCTATTTGCTTTCTCGAGTATTTTTAATAATTGATTAATGATAGAATCTGCTTTACCTTCAATATGTGAGGGGATTGAAACTGAACACGCAAGGTAATACTTATCTTGTAAAACCTTAGTAATAGTTGTTGAATTGGAACTCTTAATTATACTGGTTTCATCATTGTGTGATTCATTGAATGCGTGAGCTAACGAATTGATCCCTCTCAACAATCCAATTATATTCAAATGTTCCTGGAGAATAGTGTCATTGTCTTCCAAAACCCCTTGGGCCTGTGGGGTTAAAAAGCATAAGACTTGGTTCTGCAACTGCTCATTTGATTCTTCTTTATCATCAACTAACTCTGGATTATAAATCGTGATGTAATTTATCTTCGCAGCAGAGTCCTGATCCGCTTGAACATAGGCTGACAAATCTGTCCCTCCCTTCAAATTTGATATCAGTGAAATAAGATTAGTGAAGTAGTTATTCATCTTTAACCACTGCTTCCACTGACACTTTTATCGAGATATCTGGGAAGAATATGACCTCTTTTGTTTTTTTTTGCGTGTGCTGATATTAACTACAAATCGCGATTTGATAACATCTACAGAAGTTGATCTTAATTTGCAATCCCATTATTTACAGAAAGATACTATAGTAAGTAGGAATCAGTGCAGCCATAGTTCCGCCCAACCAATGTTCTTCCTTACCGCATTGGAGAAACCTTCGTTATATTTGACCCATATTCTTGTAGCTTCATGATTTGGGTCCTTTTCTCTACCATTATCTTTTTGCAATTGACTTGAAAGACCATCGTATTTGTTTTTAAAGAAATCAACAGAGTTGGCCGGTTTGGCCCTTTTCTTCTTGGTGTTTTCCTTTTCTGCCTCTTCCTTTTGTTTTGAGTCTGGTCCATCTTCAATTCTTCTTTTTGAAGCTCTACTGGCCATTAGCATCAATTCAATTTCCGATTTGATTAGTGGGAATAAACGATGTCTTTTATTTTGTACTAACTTGGAGCGGGCCAAAGAATTAATTGGGGCTAGATGGTTTTCGAAACTGACTATACTGTCCCAATCGTTGGAGAAATGTAATGTTGTTAAACCAGATTCCACGTCTTTTTGACTTTCTAATTTCAAATTAAAAGAATGTACTAAATTAGCACACTTTTGAATTGATTTTATCTCATGATCTTGTTTGATCTTATTCGAGGCTAATTCAGGGGATAACAACTTATCTAAGAATGGTAAAATATGGCAGGAGAACGATTCCGAGGATTCTGAGGATCCGAATCCCATGCTTACTTTTGTACTCAATGGGATAATTTCAAGAAGTCTTTTCACAGTAGACTTATTTTGTTTCATGACTTCCATAGTTTCAAAATCAAGGTTTCTGCTATTGGGAATCAAGCTAGTGTCGTTGGCATGTTTACGAGGGTTTATTTCACTGAATAAAGACCATACTTTCATCGTTACCAAACTCGAATAATTATTAGCATCGTTTTCTAGTTTTATGTTATCATAAAAGCTGAACCAATCACTTAATTGAGAAGGCTTTTTTAATGAATCGTCCTGTAGATGAACAACATCTAAATATCTATTGAAACAGCCTCTAACGACTTTATCTAGGGATCCGGAACTAGAGACTGCAGATTTACCCTTACCGTTTGAAATCAGATCCAATAGTTTTTCAAATGCTTCGTCTTTTGACAATTGAGCATCTCTTTTAAAGAGTTGGTCTACCATAGCAAACCATGTCAATTGAGTATCTTTATTACCGTTGGTCTTCTCTCCTCTCAATGTGTAAATCGTGGGATCAAGTTTACGACCATTGAATTGAAGATAATTGATACACGCTCTCATATCACATTCACAAACTTCAACAATCTCGTTTATTTGTTGGTAATCCAATCCAAGTTTCTCAAACTGACTGATTTTCATCAAGTGATCTTTAACGCTTCTCAATGCATTACCACTGGATCTAGAACCGGTTCCCGATTTCGTAGATTGTGGTTTTTTAAAGGCCACCATTTCACATAAGGGTCTCAATTTTTCCATTGGAGATCCAGAGTATCTTGATGAACTAGTCAGATAAATATCGTTGGCAATACAGATTATTGGTCTATTCAAAACAAATGGTTTCTTCTTCAGTTTCTTCGTGTTGGTATTACTTTCAATATTTCCTTGTTTGTTTCTTGATAATGTTCTTTGATCACTTTGACATAAATCATTCAAGACTTTGACAATTTCATTTGCATTTATACTTGAATCAATTTCATCAATAACGAGACAAGTGGGTCTTCCTTTGGAAGTGATACTATTTGTGGTTAAAGCATTAATGATCTTTAACTTGAGAGCAGCCGAAGCATTTTGAAATGCATTTCCAGTAGCACTGCTTGCTTGGGGTAAAGTATCCATACTATTTGCAGCGTTTAGTTCTTGAACTGAATACCCCAATTGTTTTGCTAAAATATGAACAATAGCCGTTTTACCAATACCCAGGGGACCATGAACTAATAGGACTTTTTTATGAGGACGACCCAATGTATCAATATTTTCACCCACAAAATCTTCGCCGTGGACTATGGCAGACCATTTTTTCAACCAGGATGATACCAATCGATATTGTTTATCATTTCCGGCAGAACAAATTTGCAAAAAATTTTTTGGTTTGTATTTTTCACTCCAGACTATGGACTCATTCTTTTTGGGCTTTTTAGTTTGTTTTTCAAGCGATAGGAGCTTATCTCTATTTTCTTTATCCTTTTGTTGTTCTCTTACTCTATCAAATAAAACATCCATATCATACAAATTTCCGCTACTTTCTTGTCCTAGTTCTTCGATACTAGCAAGATGTCTTTGTCTTCTTTTTGGTTTAAGCCTTATCTTCTCACCTGTGAAAAGCTTCACTTCTTTGCCTCTATAAGTTGTGTCTTCGAGTTCAGGAGAATTTTCTGCTGTTTCACTGGAGTCTCTATTTCCTTCTTCAAATAACGCATTATTTTGGCCATTAGATGGCTCATTGGATAGAATAGAGTTGGACATGTTAAATATAGAAGATTGGGAAGCATCTTTAGCCGGGATCACACCACTGAATAAGAGTGAGTCCGACATCTCAAACTGATTTGGATCTTGACGATCTGGTATCGAATCAATATTCTTAGAGCTGGGAAATAGCAAAGAATTTTGCGTATCAAAATCATTTGTATTACCCTCATCCTTCTCGAGAAGTTCAGCACTCAGCTCATGTTCATTTTTGGATCCTTCGTTGTCTTTATTGGGAGTATTGAATAACGGTGACTGATCTAGAGAAAACCCTAACGAATTTCCCGACCTTATCTTTTCGGTCTCCAGCATATTTAACTCAAATATCTATCGAAAGTGTATATTAGTTATTCAAGCACTACTATTTCACAAGAGAGAGAGAGAGAGAGAAACAGAGAGAGAAAACAGTATTCTTAGTTAAAATCTTTGAAACAACGCGATACGCGTAAGGTTAATATCAATATCCTGCACACAACTACCAAACATATAAGCAGAGTATTAAAACACTGGCACGGGAGCTTCACAACCGTCCATCATCTTGTTCTTGGGCCTTCGGTACCCAGCCTGTTCCCATGAAGTCAAGTTGAAATTGGTATATGCATTCATGTGTCTATTTATATAGTCGGTAGTGGGATAGTCAACCGGATCACAAGTCATTTCAACCGAGTCTTTTGGCTGATATATTCTTACATAATCCACCTCAAGTACGGCTGGAAGCTCTAAAGAAGCAAAGTCAATATCCATCCAGGTGGGAGAGAGACCTAAATTAAATACTAATGACATTGGCTCTCGAGAGATCTGTCTCCAGCCTACACCAGTCTCTGGATGTAAAGCATCGCCATAAATTGTTAGTGTTGGATCATTTCCTAGAAAGAATTGGATGTAACTATCCCTTTCATTTGTTTTAGCACTCATGTATTCATAACCATATGTTTGGAAATGAGTATTATCATCTAAAGGTTCTTTATTGTCGCTATCGTTACGGACTGAATCAAACCAAGTATTATTCAAAACTGTAATTGCAGCAATTGCCTCTTGGGTCGGTGTTCCAGTATCTTCCTTCATAAAAGTAACAAATTTATCTCGTATCTTCATATAGCTATAATCTGGTCTCCACCAAGGATCAAAAGGAGCAACTTGTAAAGTTTGAACTCCCAACCCCCAATTTGCTTGTTTATCATGGGATCCTTCAATTATATCAATTTCTGGAGCACCTCTACCAATTCCAGGACTAGGGTGATCCTCATCAAAACAAGTACACCTACTAAGTCTTTGGCCAGGCAAGTATGATATACCATCGGGAGATGATTGATTTGGGGTTATACCAAGATCACATTCATCATATGTATAGGGCCAAACGCCATCGGTGGTGGCTTGAAATCCTGCCCGAGCCAAATTTCCTAAAGACCAAATAGCAGGCCATAAACCTCTGGATTGAGAGTATGCTGGCATTTTGATACTAACAACCACTTTTGCATTTTTATTGAAACACAACTTATTCCAACTTTGAAGCATGCCTGATCTATAATCTAATCCATTAGTTGGAAAAGCATCGACTTTGATTTGCAAGGTACCATTCTTTGTCTGAATCATATCAGGTACGTAGAATTCCAAATCTGATGTAGCTGCATAGTGTATGTCTTGGGCTGTGAAAAACTGGTCTTCTCCTTCATAAAAAGTTCGTCCTTCTGCGTTGAATTCATCGGAAAACACCAATTTCCAAGTGTCTTTTGATTCAGAAGAAAACATTTCATATGCTTCTTCAGGGGTATCTGGATCAATTAAAGATGTTCTTATCGCTGCTAATGTTGGATATTGATATGGTGAGAGGATTTCATAAACTTCTGGGTCTGGGGAACCATAATACTTTTTGGCATATGAAACCAAAAATCCAACTGACCCAAATACGATTAAAGCCAATAAACCAATAGTTGCAATTAAATAACCGGTTTTGTTTTTACTATTCCAATATTTTGGTTTATAAAAATTCTTGCCAAAGTGTTTCAAATGGCCAGTGGAGTTGTCCTTCAAGTCTAAATTATCCCGATCGGTCATTAAAACTCCGCTTAGGTTGACTAATTGATACTGCTCTCGTGGAGACTCGTCGGTTTTGAGAAGGTTTTGCAATGTTAAATCATCCTTTTTGGCCTCCACAGTACGAACTCTTTGGACACTATCCTGCTTTTTATCTTGGGAAATAAATGAATTGTTCGAATTATCAGAGCTTCCATTTAGAGCTTGAGTGGTAGAATCTTCACTGAGATAATAATAGGGACCTTCTAATTTGTCTAAAAACCTAACCGGCGGTGAATGATTAACGAAATACCTTGAAAGGTTTTTATCTGCCCTTCCTGATAAATGAATGTATGAATTTTCTCTATTCAATAATCTTTCATCTTTTTTATGGAAGTTAGGATGTCTTGTTCTCGATTCATGATAATTATGGCCATCCTCATTTACTGGCTCATTTCCGGGTTGCATATCTGCTATCTTCTTTCTTGACTCTAAATCATAACTTGGACTGTCGTTAAATCCTCTTATACCAATTCTTGAAAGGAAAGTATTTGATTTGAAAGAATCTTCGCCATACCTTGAATATTCAAGGTTCTCTTGTAAGGAACCTTCAACAACAGAATTTGTTCCAGTATTAGAACCTGAAGTAGATGGCTGAGAACTATCATAATTCAAGTTTGGGCTACTCAAAGGAATTTTCTTTTCTTCCAGGTTGGAATCAAGAACCATTTTTAAGAGTTAGAAGAAAAAACAAAAAAAAAAAAAGAAACACGATTACCTATCGAACATTCAATATATATATAAACTCAGAAAAGCAACTAATTTATAAGAAATGAATTAGCAAGTCTTTTAAACTACCAGATAAAAGCTTTTTTATCAAAGCTGATGAGACATACCAAATAAGTTTCGGTACAGGATAAGTTGGGCAACCAGTCTTCAAATGCAATTTTATATCCGTCGTTCAATGCAAGATTTGTTTGTTTAGCGTATTGAAATAGTAATGGAATACTACAAATTATGTATGATTCAGTAATTTTGCAATCAAAAAAAGTAAGAATTTTCTTTTTTTGCCTCAATTTGCATCAAAAAGCGTCAAAATCCACAAATATTTCAACTCACAATCGAAGTTTACTGTAAGCAAAGAACTTTTTTTTAACTTTTTTCCACTTTGGCTAATAGGGTGAATTAAAGATTGAAAATCGTTTAAGTTGTATCAATAACGGGGATAACGTTGGCTTCAGCCGCAAATTGCCTTTGTAGCGAGATAATTTCAGATTATTTGCAGCAATTGAAGAGGCATTAAAAATATCTCCGATATGAACAAAAACAAATCTCAGAGAGTATTTCAAGTCTTTATTGTAAGACTAAATGTATATTTAACGAATCAAGAGGGAGCAGGTTTTCAAAGTTCCAGGCTTCTTAATAATAAGTTCCCATAATTAAATTCTTTGAGAATCCAGGCTTACCAATGACCTGAACCACCACACCAGCATGATTAACAACTACACAGGAGGGACAGCTGCTTACTGTGGGATCCCATTCATTTGTTTCCAGGTTCCAAGATGGGGCAAAAGGTGGATATAACTTGCCTTGGGTTCCCAAGCAGCACCCGTGCACCAAATAAATACCACGTTACATTAAGCTACAGATATTGGGATAAGATATTGAACGGAATCAATACATATTCTATAAACATATCTAAGCAGAAGAATTAAATAATGTTAAAGATAAGAAAAAAAGAAACAAAACAAAGGCCGAAATATTTAGTTTATATAGAAGATGTAATAATTTTTCCGAAAAAAAGAAGTTAAACACCCTGTTCTATTATTATATCAGAAGATTGATTTAATTAGCATCAAAAGCTCTTGGAGCTTCACCTTCAGGACCAATGTATTTAGGATCTCTCCAAGGACCGTAATCATTTAAGTATAATTGATCATCGGTGACTTCGGATTTACCACCGAATTTGGTTGGTAAATTTTCAGCAGGAATTTGTTTTAATAATTCTTTGGAGTAAGAAGAACCCAAAATATGAATTTTAGAAACGGTAACTGGATCTAAGAAAGGCTTAAATAATTTAAAAGCAGTTGAGAAACCAAAAGGAGCATTAATTAAGTAAAATTTCCCCATTCTTTCTGGATAATAATCTTGACCAATTTTAGAAGCTTCTTTAACGTAACCAACAACGTTATAAGCAGCACTGATTGAGATACCTTTTAAATCCATAATGGTACAAGAGGTTTCAACCAAATAGTCTCTTTCTCTTGAACAAGCAGCCAATCTATATCTAGCAAAAGACTCATATTCCCAAACCAAATTTTTTAACATTCTATCTTGAGTAGTTAATTTTAACATTTCATTCAAATTAACTTTACCCAATTCTTCAAAATAAACCGGTCTACCATCTTTATCAGTTTTATGATAATATTGAGGATACAATTTAGCAACCAATGGTTTTTCATCGTAATGGAAATCAGTTAAAATATTATTAGTACCAAATTCTTTTCTCCATTTTTCACATTCAATAAACATTTGTTTGGTTTTTTCTAAATCAAACTTTCTAGCTCTTAAAAATCTCAATAATGATGCATCATCTAAACGTTCAGTGTATCCTAATTCTGATAATTGATCATGGAATTGCTTTAAAGTTTGCTTTTGAGCTTCGGTTAAGTTTGAAGTATAACCGGTTTGGTCTGTTGGAGCGTTAACTTGAGGAAATGAAGCCAAATATTCGGCTTCGGAAAGTGGTGCTGCACTCATACTTACTACTGGGTTCAATTAACTTACTGCAATATATCTATTCAAGAAAGCAAGTATTTAAAGGAAATTGAAGTATTTTAAACCGATCATAAACTTTTTTTTTTCGTTCTTTTTTGCTTTGCTCGTTGAAATTTTAGTGTTTTTTTTTGTTCGTTACTCTTTTTTACAGTTTTCGTTTTGTTAGTCTACTGCTCAAGTATAAACAAAATGGTCTGTTGAAGTAAAGCAGCTTATTAGTAGTAAAGCTTCTAGGTAGCAGAACGGCTTCTTAGTAGCAGACAACGAGTCAGCAGAAAAGGTGTAAGTACAGAACGATAATTAGGGCTGGTAAAATGAAGTTTTGCCGGACAAAACCTAATTTGAAAGAAACTTAGTCTTGATAGATTATCATAGAAATTAGGAACAGCGTGTGGTTCCAATCCTCCATAGGAGTGTGTGGATACCAGGGCACTTTTGTCAGTCTTCGTCTATCGGATGGAGCCTGGGCAGGTTTATTTTGTAACGAGTTAGACTATAAAACATGTATTAAGCATTCTACAAATATAAGACACAACAAAGAAGAGAACCAGGATTGATAGAAATAAAGAAAAGTATTAGTAAAACTATTATTGAAATGAAGAGCTGGGACAAGAAGAGATGTAGTTAATTTCTTCTTAACCATTTTTTAAAGGGGTTTTTAGTAGTTTTCGTTACTGAACCCAAAGAGTTAGAGCTGTTAAAATTAATATCCGTGGTATTATTGGAAGAGTCATTATCAAAATTTATATCTTGAAATTTCAATTTTAGTAAACCAAGGGCATTATCAGTAATTTTTTTATAATTATGAGGGATACCATCTTGAAAATGGGAATCGTAAAAGACAATTGCATTTCTTGAAGTGTCGAGATAAGCTCTTGATAAGATATCGATTGTAAACGAATCCCACATTAATTGATCATTTTGGAAATTTTCTGGATATTCAGGTAATTCTAATTCAATTAATAAATCACTTATTTTGTTCATTAAATTAGTACTTTGTTTTTGAATATCTTTTAATGTAATATTTGAAGTTATAAATGAAAAAATATTTTCATTACTTCTACAAAGTGATTTAATAAATCCTTCAGTTTCATTATCTCCGACTAAATCTAAGAATTCCAGTTTTTCAAATTCTAAAGATCCAATTTGGTAAACATTTTTCTCGTTATTGATATGAATATCTCCATTACTTTCTCTTGAGCTATCTCTTTGATGGAACAAACTACTGCTGTTGTTGTTCAATTGATTCTGTGAATTAATTGATCCTCGAGCTTGTTGTTGTTGCAGTTGTTGTTGCAGTTGTTGCAGTTGTTGCAGTTGTTGCAGTTGTTGTGGGGGTTGTTGCAGCGTTGAAACGCTTTCGTTAGCTGATAACGTAGTACTAATGCTAATTGAAGAATTAGATGAACTGATCTTGTTACCTGATGAAGTAGTTGGTAATAAATAATTCCCATTTCCATTACCGTTGGTTCCATTATTAGTCGAGGTATTATTAATCGATGAAATAGAAGATGAATGATGATGTAAATTAGCCCCTTTTAAGTTTAATAAATGAATAAATTGGGTTAATCTTAAATATTTATCAATTAAATATGGAGTAGTTGGTAATTCATTAGAAGTTGAGTCTCCACTCAATCCTAAATCAAATCTCTTAACTTCATGACTTAAATCTAAGATTTTTTCATTAAAATCATTTTTACGCCCAGTGATTTTATCAAAGTAATCATAAATATCATCATGATGTTCTTTTAAGAAACGATTCATTTTAACTAAATGAGGTTCTTTATGAGGACTAAATTCTTGTCTATTGGCTAAATTTAATAGAATTTTAGCAATTAATGTTAAAGTTCTTTGAGTTTTACCAGTTTGATGATTCTTAGTTAAATAAAATAACTTTGGATTTAAAATAGCTGGACAGAAAAATCTTAAGAAAATAAAAGCACTTAAACAATTTAATGCGGTCACCTTATCATCAGGATCACAAGCTAAATCAACTTTTGTTCTAAAATTTTTAAGTTGAATTTTAATTTGTTGTGGTAAATCATTAGAAGTGATATAAATTTTATTCCAAATTTCTTCAGCGTAATGATATAAATTATTAAAATTTTCTTCAACCATCGATTTGATTTTGATTTCACGTTCTTTTTCAACATCTGAGTCATAACCATCACTATCATCATCACTATCATCACTTCCATTTTCTAAAGAGTCAGTAGTTTTACCCTTTCTTTCAGCTTTTTCTTGTAATCTAACATATCTTGGATCAACTTCACAACTTTTATTTTCTTCACTTACTTTACTGAAAAAATCACCAAAAACTTTTTCAAGATATTCTTGACCAATTCTTAAATTATATTTTTCTAAAGATTTTGAAAAAATTGAAGAACCTCTAAATAAGGTATTGAAAACATTATTTGAACTTGAAGAAGTTGGATTATTTCTATTAACGTAATTTTTTCTAGTCATTTTATCAACATTAACTAATTCAACTTCCATTAAAGATTTAAACCATTTATCTTCAATACCTAAGCTTTGGAAAATATCTAACATTATTAAACTAACATTTTCAAAGTCTGATGTTGGTACATTATCATTACAATATTTAATAAGGTCTTTCATTGGAGCATTTAATAACATACTTTCTAAAGTTTTAAAATTTGAAGGACTTAAAATATGATATTCTTTTAAATTAACTGTAAGTAATAATTTACCAATTGGTAAATTGGTTGAGTCATAAATTGATAATCTAACAATATCATTACCGATAGATGAAGTATTAATTAGATTACCACCATTAATACCATTATTACCAGCAGAACCCGACATCATCATGGTTGAATTAGTATTTAATTGTTTTATTAAGATATCAGGAGTAATATAAACTGTACCAATTAATTTATCTTTTGAAGAATAAGTATTATTATTGGAAGAACACTTTTTAATTAAGATATGAACGATTTGAGTCAGAATAGGTAAATCAGTTGAAAATTCTTCTTTCCAAAAAGGATTGATTGAATAATTAACCATGGCAGTTCTTGACCAAGGTAACCCCCACATAACCACTTCTGCATAAATTTTACCATTTTTCAAAGGTTCTTCATCAAATTTAGCTTCAATAATATCTATACCAACTTTTTTAGAAACTCTAAAATTATCTTTTGAATAATCACTCAAAGGAGGTAATAAATTAGTGGAAGAAGATTGATTTGAAGATTGATTTAAAGGTTGATCTAATAAACTTTGATTATTGGCAAAACTAAAAGAAGAAGCTGTTGGAGTAGCCGGATTTGAAGCACGTCCGGATGAATTAAAAGAACTAAAGGTAGTATCATTAATAGTACTATCATTATCATCATTATTTAAACTTATGGTTGAATTTTTTCTAATGTTTGATGAGGGAGCAATATTGGAAAAGGGAGGATTTAATTTAAGAGAAGATTTTTCATTAAAAGAACCAATATATTCACGTTTAGCAAAATAGTTTAAACCAACAAACCAATCTTCTAGATCAATATGTAAAGGAAATTCAATCAAGATTCTTTGGTTTGAATGAATTGGTTTACAGTCTTTAGTTAAAAAGGCATTGTGAGGAGCCAATAGATCAGAATTAGTAGTACTGATTGATTTTATAATATTGTTCCAACGTAATTCTTTGATTTGACCAATGAATAAAATATTTGAACTATCAAAGATAGAATGATGAACTTCTCTAATTTCCGAAGACATCATTGATTTAATATCAATTGAATAAAGAAGAGTACCATCTAATTCACTAATAAAATTTAACATACCATTACTTTTCAAAACCCCCATTGTATAAAACCAGCCTTCATTAATATTATCAAGATTTGAACTTTGTTGATGAGATTGATGATGGTGATTGTTATTATTTGAGTCAAGATCAGTTAAGGATTCAAAATTACTCGAATCAAAGATATTTGCTTGATAAATTGGAGCTTTTGGACCAGGAACAATTTTTAAATTTTTTTGTTTTGATGGAATTGGACCATAAATTTTATAACGACAAACCAATAATTCATGAGGAGTACTTGAAGAGCTAGTTGATTCAAAAACTTTATTATCACAATACCATTTCTTCACCAAACCAGCTGGTTTTAAAGATTGCCAAACTATTAATGAACTAATTAAATTACCAAAATTACTTTTGGAAGGTACTTTGATATAAATTTTTTCATTATCATAAGTTTTAATAAAAATAACCGGAGGCTCATCATGGGCATTGGCATTGTTTGAATTCCCATTATTGTTTTTAGGCAGAGTGGTTGTATTTGATGTATTATTAAGTGATCCATTACTTGATTTTTTCAGTAATTTTTTCTTAGAAGTATGATTTGATGGATTCGAAACATTCAACGTTGGATAGATCTGAACGTAACATGATTGTAACGATTGTAAAAGCAAATAATGAGTATCATTTTCATCATTTGAATATAATTGTCCTGATGAATTTATCGATAATGAATAACTATGGATCCAATTGATTGAATCGGACGAAATTAAAAAATTCTGTCCGGAAAAAATCCCCTTATTTCTAGCAATAACTTTATGGAAAGGTGTAGAATGCTTCATCTTGTTACTGGGAGAGAAAAGAAGGTAGTCGGATCAATTATTCAAAAATTTCTGCTGGTATAAGTAAAAAGAAGAACCAAAAATCAAAAAAAAAAAAAAAAAAAAAAAAAAAAAAAAAAAACAACTGTCAATCAAAATAGAGTGCACATTATGATTTGATAAATACGCGTATTACAAGGTTGAAAAGTCAATTAAGAGCTTGAAACTATGAGGCTGATACTTACTTTTAATAACTGACTTCGCAAGACCAGTGGGTGTTGGCAGTCATTGTGTAATTTCGGCTAAATTTCAAGCTGAATCCCTCAATCAGTGCAGAATTTCTGCTTGAAACTTGGAATCATTTGGCCGGGGTGCTTTATCAGCATTACATGATGGTACGATGCGTACCTATGCACATACTGTAGACAAACTAACACGGTACTATAGTAGGTGTAATAGAGGAAGTAATAGTAATAGCGAGAGTGTGTAATATGTAATAGAGTTATGGTAATATTGAAAAGTAGTAATAGAATGGTAATAGAACGGTAATAGAACGGTAATAGAACGGTAATAGAACGGTAATAGAATGATAATAGAATGGTAATAGAATAGTAATGGTAAGAGTATCAATTTTTGCATTAAAGTTGTAGTAATTGAGTACAATGTAGAGTAAACTAAGGTACTTACGGTATCAGTACGCGTGTCAGTACTAGTACTACATACTAGTAATAGTATAGCATACAGTAATAGTGTACAGTAACAGAGCACGAGTATTAGTAATTGAGAAGATAGTGGAATGAAAAACACCTGAATATCATAGTATCACAGTAGTATTAGAGTAGGTAGAGTAAAGGAGTATTAGTAAAGGAGTAATGGTAATGTGTTGGAGTGCAACCGGGTAACCTCCGTGCCGCACAAACTGTCAATTACACTACTCTTTCAAGTAACGACAAAATCGACTCAATGCAGCGAACAAAAATTTCAGCAGAGAAGCCATCGATAGATACTTGGGATACTATAGAATAAAGAGATCCACATGTATTGAGAGAGATAGGGCATACCGTTACTGTGGTGGGAAGAAATAATATATACTGAGGAAGAAATACTGCGAGAGTTGAACCAGGATAATTAGCTAAAGTTGATAAAATGAGTAATTTAGCTTATCAAAATTTTGAAGTTGATACGATTGATGATGTTTCATCCCATCATTCCACGATAGTGGAAGGACATGAGATTGACCAGGACAATGGTAGTGATGTGGGAGATTCAGACTTGCAATATTTAATTGATGACTTAAATGAAGAAGGAACCGGGATAATTTCTGAAGAAAGTTTACCAGCACATGCATGTTCATATTGTGGGATACATTCACCGGATTCAGTATTAAAATGTAATACTTGTAACAAGTGGTTTTGTAATTCCAAGTCCCATGGAGGTTCTTCTCATATAGTGACTCATATGGTTTTATCAAGACATAATTCAGTTTCATTACATGAAGAAAGTGAATTAGGAGATACTAATTTGGAATGTTATAATTGTGGGAATAAAAATGTATTTATATTAGGATTTGTCAGTGCTAAAAGAGAATCAGTTGTTATAATATTGTGTCGATTACCATGTGCACAAAATAAAGATTTTAATTGGGATGTTAATAGCTGGCAATCATTAATTGAAGAACGTCAATTTTTACCATGGATTGCTGCAATACCCCAAGAAGAGGAATTGATTAATTCTAAATTAGTTAGTCATGATCAAATTACTAAATTAGAAACTCAATGGAGATTGAATCGTGATGCTACAATTGAAGATGTTGATAATGATAAAACTGAAGAAGAAGAAGTTTTACCAATTTTAATGAGATACAATGACGCTTTCCAATATCAACATGCTTTTGCTCCTTTAGTCCAATTAGAAGCAAGTTATGATAAAAGTTTGAAAGAGTCACAAGCTTTAGAACATATTAGTATTAAATGGGCTATGGGTTTAAATTTCCATCACTTAGCAAGTTTTTCATTATCAACTTTTGAATCCACTGATTTAAAAATTGCCGTTGGTGATGAAATAATTTTAAGATATAATCGGAATGATTATGAAAAATGGGAAGGTCACGGTTATATTATTAGATTACCAAATAGTCATCAAGAAGAATTTACTTTGGAATTATCAAGTAATAAAATTAAACCTCCAATTCATTTAAATACTGGATTTACGGCAGAATTTGTTTGGAAAGGTACCTCTTATGAAAGAATGCAATTGGCGTTGAAAAGATTTGCCATTGATCAAGAAAGTGTTAGTGGCTATATTTATCATAAATTATTAGGTCATGATGTTAATCCAATTGAATTTGATATAAATTTACCAGAAAAATTATCGCATCCAAATTTGACAAAATTAAATTCATCACAAACAAATGCAGTTAAATCAGTTTTGAAAAGACCATTATCATTAATTCAAGGTCCTCCAGGTACTGGTAAAACCGTTACTTCAGCAACAATTATTTATCATTTAAGTAAGTTAAATAAGAAAAAGACGTTGGTTTGTGCACCATCAAATGTTGCAGTTGATCATTTAGCTGCTAAATTAGATTCTTTAGGATTATCAGTGGTTAGGTTAACTGCAAAATCAAGAGAAGATGTTGAAAGTTCGGTCGATCATTTATCATTACATAATTTAGTAAATAAAAGTGCTAAAGGAGAATTGAAAAATTTAATTAAATTAAGAGATGAAATTGGTGAATTAGCTGATGAAGATTCAAAATCCTTATTTAAATTAGTTAAAAATCGTGAAAGAAAAATTTTAAATAAATGTGATGTTGTTTGTTGTACTTGTGTTGGTGCTGGTGATAGAAGATTAAGTGAGTTAGCTTTTAGAACTGTTCTAATTGATGAAAGTACTCAAGCTTCAGAACCAGAAGTTTTAATTCCAATTGTTCAAGGTGCTAAACAAGTCATTTTAGTTGGTGATCATCAACAATTAGGACCAGTTATATTGGATAAAAAGGCAGGGGATGCCGGTTTAAAACAATCACTTTTTGAAAGATTGGTTGTTTTAGGACATGTTCCAATAAGATTAGAAGTGCAATATAGAATGCATCCAATATTATCGGAATTCCCATCAAATATGTTTTATGAAGGATCATTGCAAAATGGAGTTAATCTGGAACAAAGATTGATTCAAAATTCAACGTTCCCATGGCCAGTTTATAATAATCCAATGATGTTTTGGGCAAATTATGGTAAGGAAGAAATGAGTAGTAGTGGTGTTTCATTTTTAAATAGAGTGGAAGCCATGAATGTTGAAAAAATTGTAACAAGATTATTTAAAGATGGGATAAAACCAAGTCAGATTGGGGTCATTACTCCTTATGAAGGTCAAAGAGCTTATATTAATCAATATATGTCAATAAATAGTACTCTTATTGATAGAAGAAATGAATATTTAGAAATAGAGGTTACCTCAGTTGATGCATTCCAAGGAAGAGAAAAAGATTTTATCATATTAAGTTGCGTTAGAGCTAATGATGGACAAAATATTGGTTTTTTAAAAGATCCAAGAAGATTAAATGTTGCATTAACCAGAGCTAAATACGGTTTGGTTATATTAGGTAATCCAAGAGCATTATCTAGAAATAAATTATGGAATCATTTATTAATTCATTTCAGAGAACGAGGATGTCTTGTTGATGGACCATTAGAAAACTTACAATTGTCAATGGTTACATTAAATACTAAAACCAGAGGTAATTTACCGGGAGAAAAACAAATGTATAAAAATAAATTTGGATTGAATTCAACTGATTTCTCCGGATCATCTACCAATTTTGATACTGAAAGTATCCTCTCTTATGCCGATAGTCGAATTAGCAACAATGGTAATTGGCCAACTTTAGAAGAGGCACAATCGCAACAAGTATTTAATTCCGAAGTGAATTTAAATGCAAATTTTGCATCCAGATTAAATGATATTAATCAACACTACGATAAAAATACCAACCACCAAATGGAAGATGATATTAAGAGTATAACTAGTTCTTTTGCAGCAGGCCTAAACCTAAATTAAGTACATATGTATTTATATATATATATATATAAATCAAAATTTTTTTTTTGTTTACACAAGATGAATTTGTACCCATCAACAAACCAGTTACTGAAACTACTCCCAATTCACCAATTAACAGGGAAGGAGGACCCCCCCCCCACGGAACTCCGGGAAGAGCGAAGCACGATCGACCATAACAGCTGAGCTAATGTAAACCCAGGTAAAGTTCAGTAAGTTCAAGTAGGGCAAACACCATTTTGTCTCACTAATGCTTTATATTTCTGTTTCGATTATTATGAAAAGAGTGATTTAAGCAATTGTACAGTAAAGAAAGCTAGAATCGTTTATAGTTACCAGATCGGAGCAATTAAATTGGCAGTTTGTACAATATTAAATCAAAATATTAGTCCAGTCAGCTGCACATTTGTTTTTGCAATTTGTTATCTCGTAATAAGAAGAGGTTATGAAAAGATTATGCTTATAAGCTTATGTTAAGTAAGTTACGTTATCTTTGTTGAAAATAGCGGATATGCCGCATATAAAGATAATCAGAAACGCAACGTTTTATACCAAACTGAAAACATCACCCAATGAAGTAGAAACTCGCCTCAAGAGCTTATTATTGATTTGAAAATTATTACAAGATCGACAATTTAACAGCTTTACGTCCTGTTATGTTTAAGAGGAGCAGGTTTTATTAAAAAATTTTGATGGTGTCATCACTGAAATTTCTTTATTAAAACTGGCAATAATATCAAATTAGGCTAATCTACAAGTTAACTAGTCAACCTTAAAAACGCCAAACACAAAAGTAGTCAAAGGGTATAGGTATATTGGCTAATTGACTATTGTTCTATTGTATGTAGATGAGGATTATATAAATTTCTCTTTTATTTCCTTCTTTCGTTGGTGTTGTTTGTTGTTGTGTTGTGGTTAATGCGGCAAGTATGTCACTATACTAACTACACCAATGTCCTTAGTATTTCTACATTGTTCTTTGCCTTGGGCCTTTTGCTTTCTTTTGGTTAGTGAAGCTTTTCTTTTGCAAAAAGGTTTTCTTTTGCAAAGGTTTTCTTTTGCAAAGGTTTTCTTTTGCAAAGATTTGCTTTGGTTAGTGAGGCCTTTAGTGAAGCCTTTAGTGAAGCTTTGGTTGTTGCTTTCACTAGTGAAGCTTTGGTTCTTTGTATTTTGTTTCTTTCGTAGGATTTTTTCTTTTTTTTTTTTTTGTAGGATTTTTTTTTTTTTTTGTCACTTTCTTTTGCTTTTAGCTTCCTTTGGTATTTCTGTTTTTTTTTGTTTCTTCTTCTTTAACGGTGAATCTTACCTTGGTGCTGCTTGTGATACTTGTCCTGACTTGTTGATTGTGCTGCTCTACGTTTGTTGTGTTTGTTGGTTGTGATTCTTTGTTCTGTTTCTTTAGACAGAAGTCAAAATCCGAACTACTGATACCATTTTTGAATTTAAGTTGTACTACAAAATCGCTTGAGATATATAGCGGCTTGTTTAGCGGTTTTGTTTATAGCCAGGTTTGTTCGATTGCAATTTTGTTGAGTTTTCCTGCTTCGTTCGTTTTTATATTGTTGGTTTCAGTCTTACGAAAAAGTTTCCTCCAGATTATTTTATTTTCCCATTGACCACCCTTTCTTCTCATGAAATCATTGCTTTGCCAATCTGAAGTTGTTTCTTCCCTTGGTTTCATATAACATTTAAAAAGAAAAGAAAAAGAATAAATATTTTTAGAAAAATCCCAATTTTTTCATTAATCAAAGTGATTAACCATTCGTTAGTGTCAATAAGAAGAATTGACAGGATTTGAAAAGAGAGGCCCCTCCAAAAAATAAACAGTTTGTTCTTTTTTTCCTTTCTTTCTTTCTTTCTTTCTTTCTTTCTTTCTTTCTTTCTTTTTTTTTTTTTTTTTACATTCACTTGCAATTTAAAGTTATATTCGACTACATTTACGGAAGTATATTAGAAAAAATGGCATCCAAGAGTCGGAAGTTTTCCAATATTAGAGATTTAACCAATAATTCATCAAATGAATCATCTCCAGTTTCAACAGAACAATCTAAAACTAGAATAAAGTCAAATAGTAACAGTCCAATATTAAACAATCTGGAAGATTCAGATGTTGAAGAAGGAGTACATTCCCAATTGAATACTAATAATCCAGATAATACAATTTCCACCATTGACGATCAAACAATTAATGAAACAAATACCCCATCAACATCAACAATATTAAAAAGTAATCATCGAACAAAATTAACGTTACAAGATATTCGATTAATATTATATTTAATTGTAAGTATAAAACCATTTAAATACGTTGGAGATAAAAAAATCACTCAAACTAAGAAATGGGAAATAATTCAAAATAAATATCAAGAAATTAAAAAATCCGAAAATAATAATAATATTTTGAAAAATGTTAATGATGAAATTATAGTACCAACAGTCAGAACATTACAACGTCAATTAGCAAATGCAATTAAAAAGGTCAAACTATCTAAAAATAATAAGAAAATTAGTAAAATTGATTTAAATAAAGATATATCAACTTATTATTTTAATTTTATTAATAGAGATAGTCTGATTAATGAATTAGAAATTGCGTTATATGAATTACATGAATTAAGTGAAACATTAAAAATTGGTAAAAATATTAATAATAATAATACAACAACAACAACAAATCTACCAATTTATAATGAAGATGAATCAATAACAAATAAAAAACAAAAAAAATCACCATCATCCATTAGTAATATATCATCTACATTATTACCAAATCCACCCAATATAAGTCAACACGAGATTTTTCTTAAACAATCAATTAATTCAACCAACGGAGTTATAAACAATATAAATGAAATAAGAAATCAATTATCACAAAATTTGAAAACCAATATTGAAACAAATAAAATTATTGAAATTTTGAATCAATTAGTATTCAAAAATTTAGAATTAACTAATTTGTCCGAAAGCTTATTTCAAGAACATATTGAATTTATAAGAAGACAGAATCATTATCTAAATCAGATTGTTGGAACTTCTCAGAATTTTAAACTTAAACAAGATGAATTGAACAAAAATTTAATTGTGGAAATTATTGAATCATTGAAAAACGTTGATGAAGATTTTGAAGAAGAAGAAGAAGATTTTGAAGAGGGTAAAACTATTCTACCTAGTATTAACCAATTATCTTCTACTCAAACTTCTTTATCTCTAGCACCTCCTTCTTCATCTTCCTCTACCAAACCAGATAATCGAAATAATCGAATTTTAAAATCATTACAAGAATTACTTAATTGAAAACTACTAATTAATCATTAAGAATTACTAATTTGAAATCATTCGCCTCAATGATAAACCCAAAAAACACAATATGAAAAGACATCAAGCCCAAAAAAAAATAAAATAAACTAAAAGAAAATAAAAGAAAATAAAATAAAATAATGATAAAAGTAACAAAAGCTAAAGGAGTACTAACGAAAAGGAGCAAATTATAAATGTTCCATTATATCAGTATTACATATGAAGGCTTGTTCAAACAAAGGAAAAAGAAAAGTTCGTAACAAGAAGGCAAATGCCTGAAGTCTACAAATCCAACAAATTTTTTTTTTAAAATTAATAGCTGTATATCTATACAACACAATTGTACATTAATAATAAACTTAATAATAAGGGTTACTTTCATTAGTTACAAGGCCATACTTGTAAGATGATATATATATATATATATAAAGGAGGTTCATCAAATGCAATTCGCTGATACAATACCGGGTTGATGTTGCATTCTATTTCTTTTGATATGTTTCGATTGTTAACAAAATTGACTCAATGTATAGCGTCTTTTTGCTATTTTTTAATTATTTTTTTTGGTTTGTTCCATATTATTTTCCTTTAAGGCCGTTTTATTTTTCTTTTTTAACACAACCTACCAGCAGCTCAGTTATTCAATTAGCTGTAAGTAAAAAAGTTGACGTTACGGCTGAGCTGAAAATAGCAAATCAAGTGAGCAACCTTTTGGTGCAAGTATAGTGATTCTAAGAATTTTTTTTTTTTCTAAAAAATTTTTTTCTTTTGACCTTTGGCAGCACCACTTTAATCAGATGGAAAGTTATCTGTTCTCGTCTAAGCAAAAGGGGTTACAAATTATTTGGGTGCTTCATTAATTTGCTGTTGAAAAAATTGACCTTCATGTTAAATTATTCCCACCGTCATGAGTCAGTATTCAAAACAGAAGAATACGAGCCTTCGTTTATTAATGCCAGCTTAAGTTCCAAATATTCAAGTAGTTTGTGTAATTTAGTAGATGGTGGTAAAGAAGTAAATGAAAAGATTTGACTTGAAGGTGATGGTGTAGCGTTGAGAATACACGGAATCGGTGTTTTTCAAAGATGCCCGTTTGTCCAATCCTATTTGGCAGATGAGGAACGGTCGTTTTGAAATTAGCGCAGCGTACCTATAATTTAGCCCATGACGAATAACACAAGAAATAATAGAATATGGCAAAGTGGAAATTTGTTGGGTTTAGTGAATGAAAGGCACCTTACTGGTTTACGATGCTCAAACGGTTCCTCTGTGGTACGACTTAAAATACGCTTGACCTAGTTTTACTTCTACACAAGGTTGCAAGGGTTGCAAATTGCAGATTGCAAATTGCAGGTTTGCATATCAACATAGTGAACTTCAAAACAAAAGAGAAGAGAAACAAAAGAGAAGAGAAACAAAAGAGAAGAGAAACAAAAGAGAAGAGAAACAAAGGAGAAGAGAAACAAAAGAGAAGAGAAACAAAAAAGAAGAGAAACAAAAAAGAATAAGAGAACAAGAGAATGAGAGAATAAGAGAACGAGAGAACAAGAGAAGAGAACAAGAGAAGAGAACAAGAGAATAAGAGAAACAAAAGGGAAAAAAAAAGCGCAAAAAAACAAATCAAAAAAATCAAAAAAGCAGAAAAAACAATTAAAAGCCGAAAAACCGAAAAAAAACAACACAAGTGACTCAAAGTCTAAGACGAGAATCGGAAAAAAACGCGCTTTCCCAATCAGGAAAGCTGTATGATTGCAGCGCATCGACTGAAGAGGAATTACTTATTTAGGCCAAAAACTCAAGTGCATATGCACCTGCTCAAGCAGTTTGCCTAATTAGGCCTCTTTACCCAAAGAGGTAAAAACACAAGAGCACCGGAGCTTCCGGCCACAAAACTGCACTACCCCACAATTATCACTCCTTCTGGAAGGGCAAGCAGAACAGAGAGCTGAGGGGCACCCAATGAGGCAAACGTTTGCAGCAGCAGATTTTCACTTGCCTGAACGGGTATATTAATAGAAAGTGGAGAATGTAAATGGAAAATGGATTGAAGACTACAATGACAATGGCTTCCTTGTGGAACAAAGAATATACGTTGAAAGACCCCCACCAAACGAGCTAGAACCGAACCCCTCCACGGAGACATGGATAAGCTGTTGAGTTTGAAAGTAAATTATACTATTTCGAAATAGTAAAACAATAGTTACTGTAAATTATAGTATTCCAAAATAGTTACAAGTAAATGATAGTTTAAAAGGGTATAGTTTAAAAGGGTATAGTTTAAAAGGGTATATTATTAAATTACTAAACCAAAAATTTAGAATCGAAAAGGGTATTATAATTATCTCGTAAACCGAAAGAAAGAACAAAAAAAGAAAAAATAATAAGTATAACCGAAAATAAAAGGTTGGGGTAATGCGTAAGCATACAAACGCCAACCCATACAGAATTAAAGTCTCCAAGAAAGAACTTTTAAACCGAAAAAATAAAAAATGCAAGTAGGTAATGAAAAAATCATTACAATGGGGTATCAATTGAAGAAATTCACAAGGTGAAATAAATAATTTTAAATTTTAGCTAATTGAATAGCACCGAAAAGTCATGAGCAAAGTGAAAAAAAGTAACCGAAAAGTCGTAACAGCACTGAAGGGGGGTATCTTGTAAAATAAAAATCAGTGAATAAAAAGTAATAAAACCGAAATATTGAATAGCGACAAAAGAATTGAAAAAGGCCAGAATGAAATTATTAATGTACAAGAAAATTTAAATTGCAATAAAAGCATTTAAATCAAATTCACGTCTATCATTGAAAAATCCATCAATTTCACCATTCAAAAATGAAGGTTCGATAGCTGGATTTTCAAATTGATTAAATTCTTCAACTTCAGAATTATAATCGGAAGTTGGAGTCAAAATCTCTTCATTTTGATTAGTTGTATTTAAAAACAGTTCAATTTGATTATTGAGAGTCATGAAATCTTGTAAATCACCCAGTTTATTATTTGGACTTGGAGGTAAAGTTGGAATCTTCTTGGCTGATTTAGCAACCTTCAGTTTTTTCAAATTTGGACCGTTATAGGTTTTAAATTGAAATTGATTTTTTCTTCCTCTTTTATTAACTGGTTTTTCAGTTGATTTTTCAACTGGTTTTTCAACTGGTTTTTCAACTGGTTTTTCAACTGGTTTTTCAACTGGTTTTTCAACTGGTTTTTCAATTGATTGTGTAGGTTGCTCTTGGAATTGGCAATGGTAATCCAAATATTGATTGAAATTGAATTGGTTTTGGAATAATAAAGATTCAATTTCATTTGATTCATTAAAATTTATTCCTAATCCAACATTATTGACATTTGATTCTAAAAGGGTATTAGAAAGGCTATCGTCCTGCACATTGGCCAGTGCGGGAGCGGCATTAGTGTCAAAATCGGTAAATTGATGAGGTGCGTCGATTGGTGAGAAATTTCCTAAATAGGAAGGATTACTGAAGATTGAATCATTATGAGAAACATCGCTAATTGAATCACTTGATAAATCCAACATTGGAGATTCCATATTAATAGGAGAATCACTTAATGACTTGGTAGTAGCGATAGAAGCTTCTGATTTGACTGGAGACAAATCAACAAAAACAAAATCAGTTGGCATACCTGGTTTTGTCTTTGGTCTTCTTGATGGAGGTTTTCTTGTAGTATATGATTTACCAGCAGCAGCAATTTTCAATGAATTTTGTAAGCATTCAATTGAGCTATTTGATTCTTGCCCTGATGATTGACTTGAGCTAGATGGAGTTCTTCTAACTCTCCATAATTTCTTACCATTAGCTGGAGGTAATATTTTCCTATTCTTGTTAGTATATATTGCAATTGACTTATTATAAAGTAACATACTGTTGATTCATTATCCAAGGGTATAGGGTATAAGAGGATATAAAAGGCTATAAAGATATAAAGAAAGATTAGAAGAAGAAGGAATTTTTTTGCAAAATTTATGGGAAATCCCCAGATATTTATTTCAATTGGAAAGGATACGAATATTAGTTGTTGGGTTTGTCATATGGGAAGGGGTTATAAAAAGGGATGGTGGTTATTATCTAGTATAGATAATTTTTGTTTCATTAACTTTCCTAACATGGATGGGTAATTATTATTGTTGAAAAAAAAAAAGAAAAGAAACTCTTTGTTATTGCAAAGATGCCAAAAAAACAAAATTTAAAAATAAGGCAATTGAAATAAATCAACCGAAAAAGAAAGAAAGAGGTTGCAAAACTAGTGAAATAGACATATGCATAAAACTTTTTTGGAACGAACCTTAGTGCTTAAAAAAAAAAAATATAAATGGACTAATAATGCAGGATGTCATGATATTGTTAGGATTGGTAACCTTATCCTGTTAGGACAATGACCATTTGTAAAAGACAAGTTTGCTCAATTGAATCCCCCCCATAATGTTTATCAAATAGCTTAGTTAAGTCGTCAAAGCCGTAAAAAGCCAAAAAATTTAGTGTCAGAAACAGTGAGAAGCTCATTAAACGAGCCTTCATTTTTGTAGGACTTGCCTAATTAGTCACGGTGATTTTGCACTCTACCCAATCACTACACTAACCCACCAATGCACTAACCCACCTACTACACTCAGTACATCGAGTGAACTAGGTACACTAAGTCAAAATACGCATACCATCCCTTCGAACTCCACCATTACCAAAGCATGTGTATTGTAGTGGGATCACTTGAATCAAAAAGAACAAAACCGATCAAACAAACAAAGAAAAAAAAAAAAAAAAATTAAAAGAGGAGTGCGAATGTTTTCATAAGTTACTAAAAAAGTAGCCACTACGTCAATGAACCTACCTAATTAGGATTCAGTGATAATAAAAGGACTTGAATGTGAATGTGATTAATAAACCTAAAGAGGAGAAAGCCATTTTAATTAGGTGCATAAGAGAAGTCCGGAGTGTGGCAACTCCGGATTGTTTTTTCATCGGGCCCAATTAGTGCGCAACATCATGGGTTAGGCAACAACAGACAGAGTGCCTTTCTTGATTAGGCTTGAGGGGGAGGGGTTCTCCTCCAAATTGACTAATAAATAATGCTTAATTAGTCTTGCCGGGGATCACGAAAGGAGCCCTGCCATTGTCGTTAGTAAGAAGGAGCTGATTTGATTTTTAAGGATTGTCTGTGAAAAAGGCTCATTAAAGGCAGAGAGGGAAAAAAAAAAAAATAATTGACAAACAGAAAATGTGGAGACAAACGAGCAAAAAAAGGTCGTCAGCCATTATTCATTCGGTTAAAAAACTCATTGATTGCTACTAAACAATATAAGCCTAAAGAAAATATCAATTTTCAACTCCTTGCACAACCCATTCTACAGCGACTTGCCCATTTAATCCACTCCTTGAACAGAAGCTTGCCTAATTAGTCTTTTTGATGCGCCTAATTGGGCCAACCACCAAAAGGATTCAAAAAGCATATTTTTAGGGTTTTTAGTTTATTTTAACTAGATGACTAGCAATCAAAGAAATAGTACGAATACGATGATTTGGAAAGAGTTAACTTGAATAATTTTACCCAACACTTTTTTTGTAACTCAGTAAAATTCCTGTTGATTCCTGTCGAATTACCAAAGTATATTTGATGATCTTTATGGGTACTGATGATTAACCGACACCTCAAGTTAACTGGTAGTATGCTATACTCCATAATCTAGATATAACTCGTCCACCCGATACATCATAAACCACCCCAAGTGGTGTGATTTAGATTAATTAGGTTTGTTGGATATTGTCTACCATTGGAATTTTTTTAGTGATTAGAGTCATTTTTGGAAAAGCCGTTGGAAAACTTTTTCGGGCGGATTTATAAGCGTGCGGGCTGCAATTAATCACCCAACCTAATTAGGCAAGCAATTTTGTATACCACTTACCTAATTAGGCCGCGCTGTACGTGCGGCTAAAGTAGCACGTCTAAGTCAAAACTTAAACCTTACCAAGTCATTATAATGTCATTTCTTCAAAATCTGACGATCTTGGTTTGTTGGGTTGACTCCTTACACCTCCGTATATATTTCGGAGATGATGTTGCACAATGAATTGGCGAGTCTGGAAGCTACAATCGCAATTGAAATAACTTAAATATCTATGTTACACTATATACAGGGATCAAAAGATAAGATTAATCTTTAGCATTTTCTTTAGCATTTTCTTTAGCAATTTCTTTGGCAATTTCTTTGGCATTTTTTTCTTCAACAAGTTTTTTTAATCTTTCCTTTGCTTCAGGGGTATAATCTAAAGTTCTTGTATCGGTGTGTCTCATTGACATGCCAATGCTTTCTCGTTTTCTTCTCTCGATTTCTTCTTCCAGGTGCGGAGTGAACTTGACAAATTCAAAGTCCCTGCCAGTGTCCCACATGACATAGACCCCAGCAATGGTGGCCAAAGTACCGACCACGACTCTTTGCCAAAATGGCGGCGTTGGAGGAGGCATCTTGGAGATGTAAAAGTTGGTATTAAAAGATTAATTGCTGAATTCCAAAAAAATTTTTTGCTCTCTTTTTTTTTTTTTTTTTTTTTTTTTTTTTTTTTTTTTTTTCAATAGCGAGCATCACGTGACTACGCGTTCTGGTTATAAAACTACCTACTTACTCATGAAACTTAAAGAATCAAAGGGGGTTTTTCAATTAAACCCACCATTATTAATCGAATTTATATTCATCATGGCAGCGTTACCCAAGAGAATCATAAAAGAAACCGAACGATTAGTATCAGACCCGGTTCCGGGAATAACAGCCACCCCGTCCGAAGACAACTTACGATATTTCCAAGTAACAATTGACGGACCAGAATCATCTCCTTATTCTCAAGGTAAATTTGAATTAGAATTATACTTACCAGATGATTATCCAATGTGCGCACCAAAAGTTCGTTTTATTACTAAAATATATCATCCAAATATTGATAAACTAGGTAGAATCTGTTTAGATGTATTAAAAGATAATTGGTCACCGGCATTACAAATCAGAACCATTCTATTAAGTATTCAAGCATTGTTAGGAGCTCCAAATCCTGACGATCCTCTAGCCAATGATGTCGCCGAAGATTGGAAGAAAGACGAAAAACAAGCCATAAAAGTTGCCCAAGAATGGACTGAAAAGTATGCCGTCAAGTAATAGCCATCTCCTCTTATATAGTATATCTTCATATACAATCTATACAATAATCTATATATACAAATAGCTACGTCACACGACTCCAATACATTTGGCTTAAGCGAACAAAACAAACAGTAAATAAACAACACGTTTAATGCTTGGTTGAAGCATACAATCCCCTGAGTAGGCTGTGAAGATCAAGAACTTGGTTTCTTTCCTTCACTAGACGATGGAACATGTCTTGTTTGCATAGCTAGCTTCTTGCTGGTGCACGGGTGGAGGTCCACTGAAACCACTAACAAAACAAAAAAAAACACCAAAAAAAAAAAAACACCCGAAAAAAAACCACGCAAAATCGGGACATTCCTCCTACTCCTTTGGCAAAGGAGGTGTTTTAGCTAAAAGACTATACAAATACAGGAGACCAAGGTAACTCGGCAACTAGTCTTTGGTGTAGACCAAGATCTGTAGGCTCAATTTGCTTGTGTAGATGGATATCAGCAGGATATTAATAGGTTTGTCCTTATTTTGGTTGTATTTTGTTCTATTTTAGTTTGGCGCTTCTCTTTTCTCTTTTTCTTTTCTTTTTTTTTTTTTTTTTCGTTCTTCCTCTTCTTTTTGATCAAAACAACCGCTACGTACCTCTTCTCTTTCTTTCCCGATATAACCTTCTAGTATATGATAATCATCTTTCGTCGGTTCGTCAGTGCAATCACCCGCCAGTGCAACCATCATATTATTTCTCCCTCCACCTTGTTTTAACCTGCTGAAATCATCTTGTCATTTACCCGCTGTATTCTTTCGCTATTAACGTGTCACATTAAACCATTCGTTCAATTCTGCATTTATTCATTGCATTTCAATCTTGTCAAGACCATTTAGGATGTCTCAGCATATCAACAATAGTGATGAGGATATACTGAGTCCATTTCAAGATCCAAACTCGTCATTTCATTCAAATGATGAAACTCCATTCAATAACACTCCCCAATCCAGAGATTTTTCAAATGATTCATTCAAATCAGCAAGACTGCCACCACCAACGTCCCAACCTCCGGTGTTACCAACTTTCAATAATAGTCAGAGAAATTCAAAGGCTTCTGATAATGAATCAATAATCAGTGCATTACCAACTCCAAATTTGAAAACAGTTTCATCACCACAACAAAGTATAAATAGAAGACCCTCGCTCCGGTTTAACCTACCTAACAGTCCTCAATCAACCATTTCAAACGTGCCCTCGCCCACTACTCTTCATTATAGTCATACTCAGAATCATAATCAAAACAATACCACCGTTCCACCAACAAAGTTCATTCCAACTAACTCAAAATCTTCTCCATTTATGGATTCAAATGTAATCATGGAAAATGAAATTTACGGGTTGAAAAGACCAAATAGCCCATTCATTCACGATGCAAACGCGTCAACCAATTATGAAGAAGAAGAAGAAGAAGATGAATATTATGATAACGACCCTAATGATGTTAATAGAAAAGAAACTGTAATGAAAAGAAATAGATGGGGGACCACTAGAAATAAAAGCGGGAGACCTCAACGAGAAAATTTAAGTCGATCCAAAACTTTAACTAAAATTTTACATCCAAAAAATTCTAATAGATCAAGATCAAATACTATTCGTAGTAGAAATGATTCAATTAAAAAACCAAATACTTTAAGTCAGGACGATTATCATCCTTCTAACTTAAGTACTGAAACTTTAACTAACTCTTCAAATAATGATGTTAATGATCCAGAAAAAGATCCTTCAGATAAAAAAGATGAAAAACGTTCAGTTGTTTTCAATAAATTATTACCAGATGAATATTTAGATCCTGAAACCGGTAAGCCAATCACTTGGTATCCAAGAAATAAAATTAGAACTACCAAATATACTCCTTTATCATTCATACCCAAAAATTTTTCAAACCAATTTTTACATAATATTGCTAATATTTATTTCTTAACTTTAATCATTTTAGGTGCTTTCCAAATCTTTGGTGTTCCTTCTCCCGTATTGGCAGCAGTCCCTTTGATTGTTATCGTTATTATCACTTCCATTAAAGATGCCATTGAAGATTCAAGGCGTACCATTACTGATTTGGAAGTTAATAATCAAACTACTCATATCTTGACCCAAATCAAAAATGATCCCGATTATTTTTATCAAAATTTAAACGTTAATGATGAAAAAATCGGTTGGTGGAGATTATTTAAAAAATCATGCTCTAAACTTTTATTCAAATTTATTCATTGGTGTAAAAATAATTTTTCAAAAGAAGCAAAAGCAAATAATATTAGATTGAAAAATCAAAAATTAAATGGTGATAATCCTGATTATAGAAAAAGTTTAGATAGTACTTTTTTCGAAGTTTCTTCTCCTCGCGATTCAACTAGTGATGATCCTTTCAGTTCAAATAATGAAAACTTGGAAAGAAAACGTCAATCTTTTATTCAACGTCGCTCAATGCAAGTTAATCGTGATAAAACTTTGGAATTCACCAAAAAATATTGGAAAGATGTAAAAGTTGGTGATATGTTAAGAATTTATAATAATGATGAAATTCCTGCTGATGTTATTATTTTAGCCACGAGTGATGAAGATAATTGTTGTTATGTTGAAACTAAAAATTTAGATGGTGAAACTAATTTAAAAGTTAGACAAGCTTTAAAATATGGTTCTACTTCTGATAATAAAATTAAAAAAGCTGATGATTTAATTAACCATCGTTTTCAAATTGAAAGTGAAGGCCCTCACGCTAATTTATATTCTTATCAAGGTTCTTTAAAATATGGTGACGATGATAATGAAAATAAAGAATCAATCACTATTAATAATTTATTATTACGTGGTTGTTCTTTACGTAATACTAAATGGGTTGTTGGGATTGTTGTTTTCACTGGTGATGATACTAAAATCATGTTAAACGCAGGTATAACACCAACAAAACAATCTAGAATTTCAAGAGAATTGAACTATTATGTTTTAATGAATTTCGTTTTATTATTCGTAATCTGTTTCGTGTCTGGTTTAGTAAATGGTATTTATTATCGTCAATCGGGTACTTCAAGAGATTATTTTGAATTTGGTACTATCGGTGGATCTCCTTTTAAGAATGGATTGATTAGTTTCTTCGTGGCTGTTATTTTATATCAGTCTTTGGTTCCTATCTCTCTTTACATTACTATTGAAATTATTAAAACTGCCCAAGCTTTTTTCATATATTCTGATCGTGCTATGTATTTTGAAAGATTGGATTATCCTTGTACTCCAAAATCTTGGTCAATTTCAGATGATTTAGGTCAAATTGAATATATTTTCAGTGATAAGACTGGTACTTTAACTCAAAATTTAATGGAATTCAAAAAATGTACTATCAATGGTGTTAGTTATGGTCGTGCTTATACTGAAGCTTTAGCTGGTTTACGTAAACGTCAAGGTGTTGATGTTGAATCTGAGGGAAATATTGAACGAGAACTTATAAATCAAGATCGTATCAAAATGATTGATGACTTACGTAAACTCAATCAATCAAGCTCCGATTATGATGATGAATTAACCTTCATTTCTACCAACTTTGTTGATGATTTAAATGGTCAAAATGGTCCTATTCAAAAACAATCCAATGAACACTTTATGTTGGCCTTAGCTTTATGTCATTCAGTCTTAGTTGAAGATGACCCAAAACGACCAGGTAAAAAATTACTTAAGGCCCAATCTCCGGATGAAGCTGCTTTAGTTGGTACCGCAAGAAGTTTGGGATATGCATTCCAGGGTAATACAAAGAAAGGTTTTTTAATTGATGTAAATGGTATTCGTAAGGAATATCAAGTTTTGAATACTTTAGAATTTAATTCAACCAGAAAAAGAATGAGTACCATTATTAAAATCAGTGAAGAAAATCAACCTCCAAAAGCATTACTTATTTGTAAAGGTGCTGATTCTATTATCTATGGTAGATTGTCCAAAAAATATAATCATTCAAATATGTTAGAGAGTACTTCAAAGCATTTAGAACAATATGCCACAGAAGGGTTAAGAACTTTATGTATTGCTCAACGTGAATTAAGTTGGAATCAGTATTCCGAATGGAATAAACGTCATATGGAAGCTTCAACATCATTAGATGATCGTGAAGCTAAGATGGAGGCAGTTGCCGATTCAATTGAACGTGAATTAATTTTATTAGGTGGTACTGCCATTGAAGATCGTTTACAAGATGGTGTACCTGATTCGATTTCATTATTAGGAGATGCTGGTATTAAATTATGGGTATTAACTGGTGATAAAGTTGAAACTGCTATTAACATTGGATTTTCATGTAATTTATTAGGTAATGATATGGAATTATTATTATTGAAAAATACTTTACAAGAAGAAGATATTAAAGCTTTGAGTTTACCACCCACAATCAATGAAGATTTTAATAATGATCAAGATTTGATAAATTATTTGATTGATAATTATTTAAGTCGTTATTTTGGTAAAACCGGATCCATTGAAGAATTAGAAGAAGCAACTAAGGATCATTCACCTCCAGATGAAGGATTTGGAGTTGTTGTTGATGGAGATGCCTTAAAATTAGCCTTGAGTAATGAAGAAACCAAGAGAAAATTTTTATTACTTTGCAAACAATGTAAAGCAGTTTTATGTTGTCGTGTATCACCAGCACAAAAGGCAGCAGTTGTTAAATTAGTTAAAGATACTTTAGACGTTATGACACTAGCAATTGGAGATGGATCTAATGACGTTGCTATGATTCAAGCAGCAGATGTTGGTGTTGGTATTGCTGGTGAAGAAGGTAGACAAGCGGTTATGTCATCCGATTATGCAGTTGGACAATTTAGATTTTTAGCTAAATTATTATTAGTTCATGGAAGATGGTCATATAAAAGGTTTAGTGAGATGATCCCCAGTTTTTTTTATAAAAATGTTATTTTCACCATTGCATTATTTTGGTATGGACTTTATAATAATTTTGATGGATCTTATTTATTTGAATTTACTTATCTTATGTTTTATAATTTAGCATTTACATCATTACCAGTGATATTTTTAGGGATATTTGATCAAGATGTTAGTGCTAAAGTATCATTATTAATCCCTCAATTATATCGTACTGGGATTATACGAAGTGAGTTTACTGAAAGTAAATTTTGGTGGTATATGGGAGATGCAATTTATCAGTCGATCATATCATTTTTTTTCCCATATTTAATGTATTATGAAGGATTTCAATCAATGGATGGATTGCCAGTTGATCATAGGTTTTGGATTGGTATTGTTGTTACCTGCATCTCATGTATTGCATGTAATTTCTATATATTATCACATCAATTCAGGTGGGATTGGTTATCGAGTTTAATTGTTGCATTAAGTATATTGGTTATTTATGGATGGACCGGTATATGGACGTCATCAATGGCATCGGCCGAGTTTTATAAAGCCGCAGCACAAATATTTGGACAGACATCCTTCTGGGCATGTTCATTTATCGGGATTCTAGTTTGTTTGATCCCCAGATTTTTTTATGATTTTGTTCAAAGAATATATTGGCCAAAAGATGTTGATATTATCAGAGAATGTCAAGCCAGAGGCGACTTTGACGCTTATCCCGAAGACTATGATCCAACCGACCCCAAAAGACCTAAGATCAGCCAGTATAGTAGCGAACACGTTAAAAGGAAAAGCATGACTCAACAAACCCAATCGTCACCAATCACCGGAACAACCATCAATCCCTCCCCCACCACCAATTACTATAAGCACATGGAAACAAGTAGCTCCACCGGTGCCAGTGGAAGCACTGATTTAGAACAACAGGCTGGCTATTACAACACCAAAGAAGAACAAAGAAAATCAATGATCAAAAGCTTAGATCCCCGTAAAACCAAAAGACAGTCCCAGCAAAACCCTCCCAAGAGGAGATCAGTGTTAGATCTTTTCAAAAGAAAATCCCAAGGAGTCTCCTATTACGACAACAACTCAATCATTGAAACCTACAATTTCCTGAATGGCACCACCGAAGACTTACCCAACTCCATTAGAACCGAAGAAATCGCCATGGAAGATTTTAATAACAATCAGCAAAAGTTCTCCAGAATATCCAATGACACCAGAAGAATCTCCGCCAACTACCAGCCAAACCGCTAGCCCTTATGACTTTATTTCGTTTTGCTCCCCCTTGTTTCGGTTTTGTATATTTTAATAGATCGTATATATGTTATGTACATTTAGATGTAAATAAAAAAGTTATGTTAAGGTAGTGTGAGTTGGGTGCAAAACAACCGGATGGCCATATCCGGGCATGGGCCATATCCGGGCATTTCAACTTTTTTCTTTTTTTCTTTTTTTCTTCCTTTTTTT